ATGGATCTACAGAAATACTCTGCTGAGGGGAGCAGTGAGGAGACAGGACAGGTCTGCTGCGCCATGTGGGTCACTCCCCTGCTGGTGATAGCTTCATAGCACTGACACTTAACCCCTTGTGCTATCAGGGAGGCCCCTAAATTTCCTAGGACTTTTAAGTTAAATCCAGAAGAGAACACAGAAAACCTGCAACAAGGCTGCGGAGAGACATACAGTCCCGTACAGCTAGTTTGCTTGTCCTCATCTAGATGAAAGGAATAGGGACCTTGCCTGCGTTTTTAATGACAGTGTGACTTACTCATTTCAACTTTTAAAAGAAATTGCTGCAAGCCTACATGCTCTGAAGAATGGAGAAGGATGCCAAACAAATGGTAAACTCTACAGATTTCCCCACATCCCAGGACGCGGCTGGCGACTGGGCTTGTCTCGTACTTACCACTCCCTGGGACTCTCGCCCTCGCATTACTCCAACGGCACGACTTTCCTCACACATGTGCTGCTTTGCAATTTCTTCATTTAGTTGCAGCTCTGCTTATTTTAGACTCATCTAACAAATTACCAGCGGCGTGTAAGAGCCAAATCCTCCCCACCAACATGCTGGTCACTGCCAGGACAGCCAGAAGGAAGCCACGTGCCAGTCTGTGGGCTGCCTGCACCCAACTGTTTCCACACGTCTGCAGCTCACCTTAGCGTAAAGAAAGCCTTCCCCCACTGGAGCCTTGCTGGCAAACATGGTCTCTACAAAAGCCTGCAAAGAGAGGGGGCCAGAAGAAGAGTCTCATTTGAGCCGTGTCACCTACTCAAACATTCGACATAGTGGAACTCGGAAGAAAAGCGCCCTTCTCTCCTGTTTTGTCAGCTTGAAGTTGTGACTGTGGGCATAACATGGATTTCAAGGGAGTAAAACTGCTTCCAGGCAGACTTGGTGGCGAGCGCCAGCCTTCCTGCTCAGAGTGCACACTGTGTGCTGCAAGAAGCTTTCTGCAGCCCTCGAGTGTGGCACAGGGATGGACCCTGCTGTAGCACTCCTGACCTTTGGGCTGCATAATTCTTTGTTGGGCGGGGCTGCCCTATTCAGTGTAGGGTGCCAGCAGCACCCCCATCTGCGATAACCAGATATTGCCAAATAGCCCCTGGGGGACAAAACTGCTACCCGGCTGAGAGCTGTCGGCCAAATTGTGAGGACTTTTGGTCTCTGTGATGTGCCGGGTGTGAGCACTGCACCCCCCCCCACTTTTGTGTTCCACCTTTATAAGCACATCTGTTTCTATTCACCACTGTACCCTGTTCCCGAAAGGATTTTGATTGGCTTATTTGGACAAATGTTCCAAGACAGCACGCACTTACCCCAGAGTGAAAGAAAAGCATGGCGTGGGGGGAACGGAGCTTACAAAATAACCCCACAGCACAGTGACCTGCATGATCTCTGCGCCTACTACCTCAGTTTCCCAGGAGCCAACGTGAAGAGGAGACTCGGCCTCACAATTCGCAGCGACCGTGGGACAGAAACGGACCCCGTCCAGGGATGTGCCTATGGGCCTGCAGCCGGACAGGTCTCCAGGAGGTGGTGCCTGAGCGAGTCAAGCTGCAAAGGGATGTCTTAATAACCTTCCCCAACACAAGACAATGACGTCACCAGAGTCTGACGGAGCAGCAGCAGGCAGGGTGCGCGACTGCACCCTTTTCCCTGTGGTGACGGCAGGGTTTCCTCCTGACAGGGCTTCCTGACCACCCTCCCCGAGTTGGCACCTGCACGGCTTCATTTTCTTCCCCGCGTTTAACTGCAGTCGCTGATGTGTCCTGTTTGTTTACTCTCTTCCCTCTTCTTGACTAAACTCAGGGACCTAGGGGGCTATTTTGCTACCCTGTATCTTCAGCGCCTAGAGCAGGTATTTATAGCAAGTACTGAGAACTAGCTACTGAATGAGTTAGCAATTAAAATTAGAAAATACTTATTTATATGGAGACACCTTGTTAGTGCTACATTTTTAAGTGCTTAAGAAACCTTTTTGAAAAAGGAAAAAGATGAAGATGCAGAACGAACAGGACGAAGTTCCTCCTGCTTCCTGGGTGGCCAAATGCCCACCCGTCTTGCTTTCTCTTTGCAGTGACAGTGCCCTGCAGGGGTCCATTTCCTCACAGGAGTCCATGTATCACCGGTCCAGTTCCTTCTGGCCCCCCAGCTCCAGGGTACAGGTCCTCTCTGGAAAACTCCAGGGGCAGACCAACTGCATGACAGCTGCTGCTTCCTGGCGGTCTTGTCAGGAGGCAGCCTGCGCTCCCATGTAACACCTGACCCTTCCCTAGGTGGCTCTTAAATGAGTGTATTTCAATTCTTGAAAAGTAAAATGCATTTTCTCTGCATTTCTCCTTGTGTCTCATAGTCAGAATACATCATGAAAGGACGTGTGGAGAGAAACAGCATTTCTGGATGGCTTCAGGGAAGATCTGTGTGTGTGCATGGGCGTGATGTGAGAGCTGGAGACAGTGCTATTTGGAGAGGAGGGGGAGGGACTCCAGGCAGAAGATGGCACTAGACGGTGGCCGGCTCAGTGTCTGAACTAGACAGAGGTGGAGGTATGGGAACATATGAATGGCCATTGCATTGTTCACTTTCATTGGTTAACTTTAAATAATGTGAGTTCCTCTCAACTAAAAAAAGAAAAAGCAACAAATTAGGTGTTTTCCAAGCATTCCCATTTCTAATGCCAACGACACTAATAATGGCCGTTGAACGGTGTCCTGTGGTTCCCAGCACCCTCCTTGCTGTTCCTCCACTGGACTGTGTGGTGTGTCATCCCCTTGTGGTGAGCGAGGTTATTAAAGACATTCCCCTGCACACTGCTGTTCATTACAAGAAAGGGTACGGTACAGCACCAGCCTTCACGAGAATGGCTATCACAGCGACAGGCTGTCTTTCTGTTTTGAGCTGCAAGAGATCTTTGCATATTCTAGATCCTAAAGCCTTACCAGGAGTAGGCTTGCAAATATTCTCTCATTCCGTAGGCTGTCTTTTCACTTTCTTGGAAATGTCTGTTTTTAATTTTAAGTTCACTTTACCTATTTTTCTTTCATTGCTTATTTTGGTGTCTTTAAAGAATTCATTGACACACTCAAGATCATGAAGCTTCTCCCCATGTTCAGCCTAAGAATTTTATAACCTCAGTCCTTAAGGCCTTTGATTCCCTGTGAGTTAATTTTTGGTTACAGTGTGAGGTAGAGTCCAACATCATTCTTTTGCACATGGAATCCAGTTGTCCCAGCATATCTGAATTATTCCAATTAAACATATGGGTAGGACATTATTTTGAAAGGAAAAGAGTGATTCTGATAAAGGGGATGAAAGAGAAACTACGGGAGGCGCGGCTGACTGCCAAGTCAGCAACATCTGGAACTGAGAGAACGAGAACTTGAGTTGTCAGAAAAGTGGACTGGAAGGCAGGTGTAAGCCGATGGCAGTTCCGCTAACACCCAGGGGCACGCTTGCTGTCTTCAGCACTGTCGGAAAGCAAGCTCAGAATCTCCTGCATGTAAGTTTTCCTCTCTTTGGCCAACAGGTGGAGCAGGAATCAAAGGAAAGTGGGCCACGATAATTTTGATCACAGTTAAATCTGTGAGACACACTACAAATAAGATAAGCAAGCAGGGTAAATGGATTTTTGAGGACCAAAAAAATCACGGAAGGGGTCACTCCGAGAAGGACATGAGCAGCATGTAACGTGCTGATGAGCTCTTGTTGAAAACGGCTCCTGAGAATTTTAGATCAAAGAATTTCTGGCTTGAAATACTGTTGCGTGGAGGCTCAATCTGGTTCACAGGGAAACCCCAAGTTCAGTAGGTGGGGTAAGGGCAGAGGTGGTGATGGCCTCTGTCATGTAAAGATCAGAACACGGAAGTCGCAGAGACGCGTGGTGACAGGCAGGGCTGTGCTGGCTGCGAGAAGGCAGGAAGCCCCGCGTCGGGCTTCGGCCACTGGGACAAGGCTCCACAGCAAGGGCTGCGGTGTGACTTTGCCGCTGGATCTCAGAGCACGGAAAACAGTAGTTCCAGATCTTAATTTCAACTTCTTCATGTGATTGGAAAAGGTGATACGGAGTTTGTCACTTTACAGGACAAATAAATATGGGATATGCAAAAGAATACTACTGGACCCTTGTCTTTCTGTTGCCTTAAGAGTTCACTCGTTACATATTCTAGATCTGAGGCCCACAGCAGATGAAGGATGTACAGATGTTTCCTCACCTCCCATTAGCTGCCTTTTCACTCACCTGGTAATAGTCTTTGTTTTTCATTCTGACAAAATTCAATTTACCTTGTTGATCCTAGTGCTTTTGGTGAAATATCCAAGAATCTACTGTCAACTCCAATGTCACGAAGACTTACATATATAAAAATTAACTCAAAGTGGATTGAGGACATAAACATAAGAGGCAAAACTATAAAGCTCTTAGAAGAAAACACAGGGAGACACTCCGTGACCTTGGCTTGGACAATTATTTTTGGAGATATGATCCCAAAATCCTAGATACAAAAAAACAAAACAAAACAAAACAAAACAAAAAAACAGGTAAAGCTAGACAAAAGAAAAAACAGTCATTTTGGACCTCGTCAAAAAAAATCTTTTGCTCCTCAGAGGACATTAGCAAGACAGTGAAAAGACAACAGAAAAAATATTTCCAAATGTTGTATCTGATAAGTCTCTGGTATTGGTAATAATAAAAAAAGAACAACAACAAGCAAGCACCATAATTACAAAATGAACAAAGGACCTAAATAGATATCTCTGCAAAGATGCTATACAAATGACCATGAAACACAAGAGAAGATACTTAATACCATTAGCCATTATGGAGATGAGTATCAAAGCCAAAATGAGATATCACTTCACCTCCATGAGAATAACTATTATAAGAAAAAGTATTGGTGAAGATATGGAGAAACTGGAACACTCATACATTGCTGATAGAAATATTAAATGGTGAAACCACTATGGAAAATTGTTTGACGCTTCCTCAAATAGTTAATACACAGAATTACCAAATATTCTAGCAATTTTGCTTCCTGGTCTATTTTTAGGAGAACTAAAAGCAAAGACTCAAACAGATACTTGTACATCAATGTTCACAGCAGCATTTATTCACAATAGGCAAAAGGAAGAAACAACCAAGTATTTACAACAAACTAACATATAAGTAAATAACAGGCTATATGTGGAATATTATTCAACCATAAAAAGGAATGAATTTCTGATATATACAAAATGGATGAAGCCTGAAGTTATTAGACTAAAGGAAACAAGACAGACACAAAAGGGCAACTACTGTGTGGCTCTGCTTATATTAGGTACTTATGATAGGCAAGTTCACGGTAGGTTAGCGGTTACCAGAGCCTAGAGACGAGGGGGTGGGGAGTAACTCTTAATGGCTGTAGTTTGGGAAATGAAAAAAATCTGGAAATAAGTCATGGTGATAGCTGTACAATGTGGATGTACGTAATATAATTGTTTACTTTAAAATAGTTAAAGTGGTAAATTTTACATTATGTGTATTTTATAATAAAAAGTAGCAAGCAGAAAGAAAGTAAAAAAAGGGGGCAACAATTCAGGCCCTAAAACATTTCAGTTTTTATAGGGTTAATTTAAAGTGATACAAAACAAGGAAATTAATAGTTGAAAACTTCAATATTTGACAGTAAGGTGGAGACCCGACACTTAGGCTATTGCTGTTGCTTTACTGCACCCTCTCTCTGTAACAAATTACAGATTTGTGAGCATTGTCATTCTGGATCCTTTGCGTTTCTCTAGCAACCAATGCATGTTTAAATACCACTATTATTACAACTATCAGCAGGAAAAGAAATGGAGTTGATGTATGTTGCTCCAGGGAGAGAGAAATCAGATCCAGGGTAAAAGATACAAGAGGACGGACCCACTTGACTTGCAAGCTTCTAAGCAATTCCCTAGACACATTCACTGAGCACCAAGTAGAAGGCACACATACACCTATGGAGTCACTGCTTCGGGGACACACGTGCAAGGTGCCCAGCGAATCCTATGGGCTTAGCTTTTTTAATCTGGGAAAAACTAGGAATCATACCTGTGACGTCAGCTTCCCAGCGATCTGCATTCGCTCAATTTCTGCAGGAGATTTGATGAGTCGGAGGCGCTGGATCAGCTGCTGGACAGCACGGACCTTGTTCTTGCTCCTGATTTTGACGTCAGCCAGATGCTGCATGTACTCGGAGTGAAGCTGGGCATGAGAAGGCCTCATCCAGTCATACCAAACCATATTTGTCTCCGCTTAAAATGAGAAGCCAAAAATTAAATGAAAATAAAGCTAATTGCAAGAATAAGCCATATCAGCTGATACTTGCACAGAAGTCGAGCTATTCAGTCTAAAGGGTGGCGCTGTGAGGGGCTGAGTACGAACTCTCAGGACTGAGATCTCTGAAGGATTTGATCGAAAATCATTGGAAAAGTCATTTTCTGAAAATGGCAAGAAGTTCTGAGACTGACTACTACCGTCTGAGTTCTCCGCGGCCCGAGAGCGACCCACATATGGCACACATATCCAGGTCTTCTACACAAAAATAAAAAAGACCCTACGTGGCCAAGTGAGTATTTTCTTTCAGAAGAGTCTTTGAAGGGAACAAATCCAATATATTCTATGATTGTTGGGAATGACTTGGAATTAATTCCCTTTTAGAAACTAACTGCAAATGTGGCTTATAAACCACACAAACAAAGCAGACTAACATTTTACATTATTTTAGTCTAAAATCAGCAGTAGTTTTCCATTGGTTCATCTACCCTATTCACCAAGTTTGACTCTCAGTGATTTCTGGATATGTTACAAATGGCATGTATCCCGCAGAGTTAGAGATGACAAGGAAAATGTAAGGTACTGTGGGTTCTGCAAAGTTCCAGAAAACAAATCCCAAAACATATATGTGACCATAATTTCCAGCAAATGCAGAGAAAGTGACCGCATTGAGGGACAAGAATTGACACTGAATCCGCTGGCCCTTGCCTGGCACGCAGGTGCTCATCAGTGGCGCCAGGGGCCGAGCTCTACTGAACGCTGGTTATTCCAGCAGGCGTCACCAGGTGGTGGCCTCTGACAGTGGTGACGCCTGGTCATTCTCTAAGAACACGGTCTCCTTTCGAAGAGTCGGCAAGCACAACTATGCAGGGGGCAAAGGTCTGAAATCTTGAAGTGGCCCATTTTCCTTTCTGCAAGGAAATTCCCATTCAGGGACTTCAAAGTAGGGCAGTGACAGTCTCTGTGCATGTACAACCCAATGCAGTCTTAGCAGGGAATGAAAGATTCCAGTAGCCTCTTCTTCTGGAAAAGACTTGTTCCTGTCATGTGCTAAGGAAACAGGCCATGATACACATTTTTGGAAATTTAATAATTTTGTCTAGATAAGCAAGGAAGGGCTCAATGCCAATCTGGCCAGTGACTGGCCTTCTCCCCGTGTTACCTTTCAGCTTTGGTACCAGATGTTGGAATTCTTCCAGCGTATAGGCTTCGTCGACTCCTGTCAAAGCTATGGCTCCGTCAGTGCCTGATCGCGGGCCATCCCAAAGCTCTCGACTGGGGTCTCTCCGAGGCACGAAGAGCATGGCCTTGTGAGCTGGTAACTGCTTGTCGGGGAGACTTTGAAGAACCAGGATGCTATCGGGCTCTTGGAATCCACACAGGTATAAGAAGTTGTTGTCTTGGTGGAAAGGATAGGGGATGTCGTTGCTCATGTAGAATGTAGGGTTGGAGAGCAGAATCACGGTCTGGTCTATCCCACTGTGCCCTTGTGCTTCCTGCCGGATCAGAGACATTAATTTGTGTCTGCGAAGTGCATATTCCACTTGGGATAGTCCTGGTGTCACCTCTCCTGGAAATGACAAATAACAGCGATGCTTTGCACATCCACAGAGTACGTACAGACCTAAGGGAGATGTTAAATGTTCACTTCTTCAATTTATGCCAAACCCTTTATTGTACATAGGGAATTAAGGAGATAATGAGATTTTTTTTCTTTCTTTCCTTTTTTTTTTTTTTAATTTATTTATTTAAGCACACAGAACTGAGGTACAGGTCAGAGGTGTGTGTGGCGGGCAGTGAGAGGATTCACCAGAGACAGAGTGGGGAGCAAAACAGGCCGACTGATGAAGTACACTGCTGAGGGGAGCAAGGGCGGGGCGGGGGGGGGGGCGGTTGGGGGTTGGGAGAGGTCTGCCGCATCATGTGGATCACCTCTGGGGCTGGGGATTGAATTCGCACTGAAGTGGCTGCAGCCAGCTTGCAGTGCTGAGCTTTAACCTGTTGCACCACAGGGAAGGGACTAAATGAGGTTTCTAATCTCTATTCCATTGTTAAATTTTGAAAGATATGATAGTTAAGTATGTTTCTGCAATACTTAAACTGGGTCACGACTCCTTAAAGATCTCTTCTAACTCTGCATCATTCTGTTAAATATTTAATGAACATTCTTATGTGGAAGGCATTTGTTAGGCAAATAATCAAAGTTGCTCTGAAGTTTTGGTGCACAAGGTAAAGAGAAGGGTTATATTCTCTGTGTATGATTTTCCCAAAAGAATGCAAACTGCACGAGGACACAGTTATGTCTGCTTGTCAATGTTATTCCCAGGCCCAGACTAGAATAACACCTGGAAAACCATGAGTATTTGATAAATGTATAATACATGATCTCTAGTTTTGAACGTCCTAAAGTTTATGGTTAAAAAGTTTCCCTGAATTTCAAGAGCTAGAATAAACTTCTCCTTCTGAATTCCCACACCATAATAACATCTTTCTACAAACTTTTAACTTGTTGTTTTGTATGAGCAATGAGTTGAACACACACACATTTATGTGACACCTCATGGCTGGTCAAGGCCATCTCTGTATCCTCTAAAAACTCTAATGTTCTGGGGGCTGCCATGAGAATCAAATCTAAATCATGTGGTTCTTAGGGTCTTAAGACTCCCTATAGAATCTCTGTGAGCTATGGATTCAATCTGCTTACTACAGTGCATGAGACACATCAAACTTTAGACAAACCCCTTCAAGAGTCTCAGATTTCCTTAAGCCAATCCCAGAACTCAGATGAAGAACCTCTACAGAATGTAAGTTTTGGTTCTTAATAGTAGCACCTGGCAAAACGCCTGACTGCTAGTCTCGTGGCTGGGTGAATTCGCCCCTTCTGAGCTGGAAATTACACCTATTTTCCCTCTAGGTCCCAAAGCAAAAGGAGGACTAAAATAAAAGCTGTGCCTATCCATCAGCCACTTAGCAGTAATACTGGTAAAACAACTAATGCTTATTGAGTGCTATGTGTGTGGTACTATTCTAATGATTTACCCTTATCGACTCACTTAACCCTTACAATGACCTATGATGTGGGTTACCGTTCTCTGTGGTAGCCAGTCTCCACATGCATGGCAAACTAGCTGTGAAGCACTGCTATATGAAAAAATTAGTCAAGGTGGATACTGTGATTCCATTTACAGTGTGTGTGTTTTTTAAAGAGCAAAACCTGGGGCCTCCCTGGTGGCACAGGGGTTAAAGCATCAGTGCTTTCAAGCTATTGCCAGCCACTGTGGCCTGAGTTTGATCCCACCCAGGGAGCTGACCCACAGAGCGCAGCAGACCTCTCCTGTCTGGCCTGCTGCTCCCCTCAGCAGTATGTTTTAGTCCATCTATCTGTTCTGCTCCCCATCTATCTGTCTCTGGTGAATCCTCTCACCACCCCCACACCTCTGGCCTCTACCCCAGTTCTGTATGCATAAATAAATAAACCTTAAAAAAAAAAGCAAAACTTCAGAAAAGAATCATAATTTTTATAGAGGTGTTGGGACACAATGGAAATCACCTGGTACCCCTGAGTTGTTCTCAGGACAGATGGGTAATCAATATAGCTTCAGATGGGTTCGTAATGGAAAAACGTTCAACTTAACAACACTAATATAGAGAGTTTACACTGACCGAGGAACACTTACTCTGTATTAGGCACTTGGGGTTTCAAGCAGCAAAACGTGACATGGGTGGGGAGTTGCCTCATTCTGATGCTGTGAGTAAAACTGCGATTCTTAGGACTTGTCTGGTAAACTCCAACTGAATGAAACCTTCCAAACTACATTCCTCCAGCTATCTCTTCTTCCATCAGAAAGGGAAGGACAGAGCCTCTCCCAGCCTTCAGGCCCTCACTAGTCTCAACCCACAGGGTCTTGGTTGACAGTTCCCACATCAGGGTGGCAAGAAGCCTACTTTGGACATACGGAGAAAAGTCTCTCTGTCCCTTTTGGGGACAGAGCCCACAGTGGTAAACTACAGGGAGAGAGATAAAAGAAGACCGAAATTTTCTGTTTAATATGCTTTTTCATATTATTTGAATTTTCTTTCTGTGAGTATATACTTTTATACTTAAAATCCCAAACAAACAGCAACAGAGGATAGAAAGAGAAGCCCTGAAGTCCACTCCCTACTCACAAGCTACAGTGACTCTGTCCTTCAGATCAACTGTAAACTCATAAACCTAGATTTTATTTTTTTAAAGATGTATTTATTTATGCATACAAAAACTGGGGTACAGGCCAGAGCTGTGGGGTTGGTGGTGGTGAGAGGATTATTCACCAGAGACAAGAATGGGGAGCAGAACAGGAAGATGCAAGGAAACACACTGCTGAGGGGAGCAGCAGGGATTCAGGAGAGGGCTGCTGGCCATGTGGGTCAGCTCCCTGGCTGGGGATCGACCTGGTCTGCAGTGGCTGCGGACAGCTTCATAATGCTGTGCTTTAACCCACTGCACCAACAGGGAGGGCCCATAGCCTAGACTTCACTGGGCGAATCCAACTTACATGTTCAATCTTTTTTTTTTCCTTAACAACTTTTAAATATAATTTAAATACCATACAATTCACTCATTTAAAGTGTATAAGTCAGTGCTTGTGGGATAGTCAGAATTACACCACAATTTTAGGCTATTCTGAGACAGCCTGGGTACAAGAAACCACAGTTGGCAGGGGGCAACCCCAGTCCTGGCTGCAAAGGCGCACTAATCACCTCGAGCCACTGTGGTGGATAAAAGCTTCAGATCCTAACTGGTGGTTGCTAGCTCACAGTCCCCTGGAGGGAGACGCCGAGAGCCGTAACCCTCCTGTCGGTCGCGGGTGCTGCCTGACTCTGAACAGGCCATGACGCCGTGCTCCTCCACACGGAGCTGGCCTTGAAATATCTCCTCCTGCGGAGGATCTGGGCGTCTGTTCTGCTTTCCCTGACTGGCTCCCTCAGGCCTGAGTCTCTCTAGTAAAGCCTGGCCTGGCTCAGCTACACCTAGTGCGCTCTGCTGAATTCTCTCCCTAGGGGCAAAGGGCTTCTCTTTGGGGCTGAGGCCCTGTAACAAAGCCATTCCTCCAAAGAGAAAGTCCATGCTCACCAGTGTACTCTCCCTCACCTCCCAACCCTCTGGGCCCTTGGTGACCACTAATCTGTTTTCTCTTCCAGGATCCGTCTAGTGTGGAGACTTCACATAAATGAAGCCACACACGAAGGGTGTCTGGTGACTTGGCCATCTGCTTTTCTTATCATTCCCAACTACTCTTCAATGAGTTTCTTCTTATATGTGTCCAACCTGTCTCTGCCTTCTTCCCTCACTTACGGTGTCTCTTTTTTGAAGCTTCTTCTCCCTCCATAATATATATATTGGTCCCTTTGAATTGTTTGTGTTAGAGCAAAATATTTTATTTCCATAGACACACACATCCCATGGCTGTGTATAAATGTATCCATAGAACTTTCAACAGTTAAACATTTTTTTCTAGTTTTCTTTGTTGTTTGGCTCCTCACCCTGCTTTTCCCTACCCACACCAGCTCCTGGCCTATGTTTGTGATCTAGAATGTACACTTTCCAGTCTATCTTAGCAGACACGTATACCTGCATTTCTGACTTTTCAAGCCACCAGTGTTTTACCAAAATGGAATATTGTCCAGTGTTTTATGTATCTTACTTTTCTAACATAATACCTTATGGAAACCCCTCCCACTAAGTGGTCTGGCATAGTTTCAATTTATTCTGTTTAATATTTCCTGGGGTAATGTATCACTACTTATCGACCCACTCCATTCTGGTGGGCATTCATATTGTTTATATTGTTTTAGCTTCTTTTTTTTTTTTTATAAAGATTTATTTATTTGTGCATACAGAACTGGGGTACAGGCCAGAGGCTCAGGGGCGGCGAGAGGCTTCACCAGAGAGGTACACTGCTGAGGGAGGCAGTGGGCGGGTCAAGAGAGGTCTGCCACGCCATGTGGTCACCTCTGGGGCAGGCGGGAATCGAACTCATGCAGAAGTGGCTTTTGCTTCTTAGTGCTGTGCTTTAACCTGCTGCGCCACCAGGGAGAGCCTGTTTTAGCTTCTTGCTGCTAGAGTCAACATCTTGTATTATATACTGGAACTTTTATACCCTATGTAGAGGTGTTTTTATTTCTATGGGATTGTCCCGGCAGAGAAAGTGTTGGATCAAAGACTGTTTGAGTATTCTTGGTATTCATGGTCAGTTGCTTACGTTTTCCTTGAAGTTGTCCAGTTGTTTTACCTATGTGTATTTTCCCCTCTAGCAAGTTCTGTAGTTTGCAGTCAACTGATAAAACTATTAGTTGGCAAATTTTATTTAACTTTTTACATTTATCGATATTGGAAAAATTTACATTTTTATTGATGGATTTGGTGAAAAATAAGAGGTGGGCAAGAGGGGCTGAGAGACCAACTTGAATCAGGCAAAGCAAAGTGTGGGCCTGAGAGCTCAGGCCACATTTCTCTGGTTTCATTGGCTGAGACTCTTGGGCAGGAACAGTGAACTTTGCACTAGAGCTGAAGACCAGCTTAAATGTGTA